TGTTACTGTTAATTGTAATTAATTCTAAATTATGGTAATTACTGTATTTTGGGATGTTACAAATTGTCTGTTATATCAATTTTTTTATAATGTTATTCTCTTTGTCTCGTGTTTTTTTTAAGTTGTATTCTTATGTAAATTTTATTTCTTTATTAATAGAATAATTTTTCATTGACACGTTTTTTTCCATCAACTAAAACATAAGTAGTCGTCTACATTAAACATATATTAGAAAAAGAAAACCACTTAGGTTAAGCGTAGTTATAATTAATTAAGTTATCATAGTTATAAGTTTAAGTAATTAGTTACCGTATTAATTATATTACAAGTAAAAGAATTCTATTATATTAGGCATTCACTATATTAAAAGAATTACCCTAGACATCATCACTTTCCATTCAGAGGCAGAACTGATTTCTTGGAGCAAGAATTTATTTCTTCAAAAGCATTAAATTCTCAATTAATTTTATTAGTTAGCAGCCGAAGAGATTGGTAAGGTTTTCCTATTTAAGGAGTGATTCTCATCCCTCTCTACATTATCCCATTCGTTTCCTCAGTTGTTTGTTTCTGCAATCCTTCATAATGTCACTTACCGGAACAATTAGCACTGAACTTCCAGTTCATGCAGCTGCAGACAAATGGTTCCACATCTTGACCAAAAACCTCCCCCAGGTTCAACACGTTGCTGGTAAAGTTCATGGAACCAAACTCCATCAAGGTGATGATTGGCATACCAATGATTCGGTCAAACACTGGACTTATACCTTAGGTAATTATTTTTATAATTAAATTGTGTTTGCATATGTTAGACAAATCAAAATGCGAGAAATTCATATTATTCATTACTTAGTTTTAATGTATATAGATCAAACCTATAATGCAATTTGGATTATACTTTTATATAGGTATTTAAAGAATAAGAAAATAAAATAAAATAATTAATTCTTATTACATATGCCGAAATTAACAATTAATTACCGTGAAGTTAAACTCGAATAAGCTAAAATAAGATAGCTAATATAAATTACAATAAACTAGTTTCACTCATGCATATAATTTGTTTAGTCTTCTTATTTTATGTTCTTATTAAAATGGTATTTTCAAAGAATTTTTGATAATAAGTTTATGAAAAACACTAATTAGTTTTCTTACATTATATTTCTTTTATCAAGTTACGAAAATATCTAGCAAGATTGATTTATCAACAAAACTAAGTTGTGTTTAAGGATTTGTATGATTTCAAATCCAGAACTAAGGCCGAGTTATAATATATAACTGAGTGCAAACTTTATGTTACAAGTTTATTCTCTAAAATTGAGTTAAACTTAACGTTTACACAAATTTACAATATATAACTGAATACAAACCTTATTTTACAAGTAAATTTTGTAATATTTGATAGAATTAAAGTTCACTTCTCATCCAAAGCTCATTCCCAAAAAATAAGTTGTTTGTGGAGCCTATTATGTCACCCTCCATCATACCATTATTAAATTATTGTCTAATCTTACATTTAAAATGTATATGTTTAGATGTGAGGTAAGTGAGTTGAAAATTCTATATTAACTAAAAATAAGATAGATTTACAAAATATATATATATATATATATATATATATAAATAAATAAATAAATAAAGTGAATACAAATCTCACTTAATAATTCAGCTTAGTAAAATTAAGTTAAGTTTAAAATAGATTTTTATATCACCTTTTAAGAATTTGAAAATCAGTTTGATGTAGGTTTAAATATTGTTTACTCTTTTTTTTCCGAAGCATTTATGGCAAACTTTACCCAAATTAGAGTTTAAACAAAGGTAAGAGAAAGATAGAAATAGAAAACTTACCATTGTATGGAGACCGAAATTGAAAAGAAAAATATTTATACAGGCTAAATATATTTGTCATGAATTTAGCAAATGAGTTATCAATTACATATTCTTCTAATATTTTTGTTTTTTAATGATTGGTTATTGTGAAACAACAGACGGTAAGACAGTAACATGTCTTGAAAGTATTGAATCGGTTGATGAACAGAGCAAAACAATTGTATTCAAGGTCTTTGGTGAAGCTGTCGATGATAAATATAAGACGTTGAAGATAATCTTTGAAGCCATCGAGAAAGAAGGTGGCAAAGCTGCAATCAAATGGACTATTGAATATGAGAAGCTAAGAGAGGATGTTCATCCTCCATATGGCTACCTGGAATTATATGACCATATCATTAAAGATGTTGATGCTCATATTGTCTAGGCAGAAAGAGATGCCACCAAATAAGAATTGAAAGAAGGTTCATGTATGTGTGGCAAATAATACTTTTGTAGTTTGTGTGCAATAATAATAAGTGGCATGTCGGTGATATATATGTCAGAAAGGTATTAAATAAAGGATATCGTTTGGTCTTCTTTTCTCAGAGGGTTAAATATGTTTTTAGTCCCTATACTATCAAGCGGTTTTGTTTCTCAGAGGGTTAAATAATGGCGATGAAGGTAATAAAAAAGGGTCTCATTTGAAACGTACTCGTATATCAACAAAGGGTGTTCAAGTTCCAAGCAACAACCAAGGAGTTTCACCAAGGTTCTGTGGTTTACTTGGCACATAATTCGAACCTCGTTTCACCTCTGATCAATGCATTTGGTGCTTCCAAGCTTCGCACGCTTGATGGAAAACACGGTTCCATCATTGAATGTCCCCTTGCACACTTCACCGAATCCACCAATTCCAATCAGATTTTCTCGGGAGAAATCGTTCGTTGCCTTTCTTATCTCTCTGCCAGTGAAGATTCTTGATGATAAAGCACTGGCTTTCACACTTGAGACTTCTTTTCTCTTATTAATTTTAGTCTCATTTGCTTTTCTTTTTGCTTGGTTATGCTTCTTGTAGAAGATCACTCCTGTGATTGCTAGAACAAACACTATTCCTCCTATGGAAAAAACCACTGCCCGAAACAAGAGTTCATAACAGAAAAATTATAAATTTTTGTGCTTTTATCTTCATTTTTATGATTTATCTTACTGTTAGTTAGTGTGTATCATCTCACCATCAAGTAATAGAAAATTTCCCACTCATAAATGGTTTATTGTTATATCTTGCAAAATTGTATCGCACGTGATCAGAACTTTTAAATGTTGGCATATAGCAGAAGAAAACTAAAGAGGCTGATAGACACAAAAGACCTCCTCTACCGCATGGTAAAGACCTCTATTGCCTCGGTTGCATTTGGACCGAGGAAAAAGCATACATTTTTTTGCCTCGGTTTAGAACTGAGGTAGAAAGTGATAGACATTTTACTTTGCCTATATATGTCTCGGTTGCATAACTGGTGTAAATAGGTAAAAATAACCGCTGTCGTTTCCCTTTACTGCACTAGTGATTACCAAAGATGAATAACAACATATATAAACAAAAGTTCTTCACGTCGTCCATGGCTATACAGAACCTAATATGAAGAGAAAGGCCAATCAACAATTATTAGAGGGAGAATAAAGAATAACATATATACCACACACGTTCTCTCACTGCACAAAGTCCTTCAATAAAATATTGTCCTTGCCTCACGCTTTTCCTCATGACCTCATCTTGCGAACCATTAGCCACATGGATTTTCTGCCTAACAACTTTTCCTTCCTTATCTCTCTCTTCAACATTTCCTGTACACGTTACAATACTCCCGCCATAAAAAGCAACCTTGTCCTCAAGGTTGAATTACGGAAAAAACTCCTTAATGTCTTGAACATCCTCCCAGGTTATTCCTGAAGGTTCCAAGAGTCCCATTGAATTAACACTTGTGGAATCGATTTGGACTAACGCATGACTATGCAGACATCTAAAACCAAAAAAGGTTGTATCGAAGGACCAAACTCAGTTGTAGCGAGTAGCAAGGGTAAATACTGTTGTGAAGGACTCCCAACAAATCTTTTAAGTAAAGAAATATGAAACACCGAGTGGATACGAGCTGAATATGGTAAATTGAGTTTATAAGCGACCTCACCAATCTTGGCGATGACTTCAAAAGGTCTAAAATAACGCATATTTAATTTTTGAACTTTTCTCAAAATCAACTTGATGGAAGCTTGTCAGGCCTGGAACTCGCAGGTTGCAACTCCAAACAGCAAGCCATGAAAGTGCAGCTGAATGGAAGTAGATGAATGGTGTTTTGGTGTGTTTTTAATGGAAGGAGTGTGTGTAGAGACCTCTCAGCTCAGAAGGCCTTCCTACTATGAAAGGAAGCTAGAGGAAAGGGTAGAGAAAGTGAAGAGAAGGAGTGACTCAAGAGCAATAGGGCTGGAAAACAATTTCTACAGCATTTCACTAAGCTCAAAAGTGAGAAAATACAAAGGGGAGACCCTCTTATTTATAAGTGAAGAAGGGCCTCAATTCTGAGCTAAATTCCCTCCAAAAATTCAAAATAAAAGATGAGCTTGGAGGCCAAGTTAGCTGGGTCATGGGAAGCATGCTGGGTCACATGGACAATGCTTCCAAAACGTGCTTTAGGTTGCTTCGCTGGCGTTAGAGCGCACGTGAGCCAAGAAGTCCATTTGGTGCATCTAAGCTGGAGCCCCCCTGTCTGAGGACGCTGGAGCGACCCTGGTGTTGATCCCTTGAAGAATGCTTTTCCCAAATCTGATTGGTTGACCATGACTCTTGCTTTTATTGTACAAGAGAAGAAGGATTTTCATAAGTAACCTTCCATAGAAGTAAAGTGTTAGGTGATCCTTCTTCTTTTTGAATCTTCCTTGTCATGGCTTTATTAAGAGGTCCAATGTGATTCCTTGATGGTCTTCCATCAGTGAATGTTGCCTATATGATTACAATTTCACAAGAACCCAATCTCCTATCTCAAAACACAAAAATATGCGTCTTTTATCAGCTTGGGCTTTCATGTATTGTTGAACCTTAAACAAATTTGCTTTCAATTACCGCAACAAAACATCATGTTCCCGCAAGAACTCTTGAACTGAAATAGGATCTTGTACATTGGTTTATATCTCAAAATCGGAGGAGGATCCTTACCATACAAAGCCTTGAAAGGTGACATGCGAGTACTATGATGCAAAGAAGAATTATACCAAAATTGTGCCTATGACAGCATTGAGTACCACCCTTTTGGATTATTGATACATGAGTCTTGTTCAAATTTTCATTACAATCCTTTTAGTTAATAATATGCCTAGACTACAAATAATCATGGGTTGGATAATATTTAAGCAAATCTATTAATCAATTTATTCCAAAAACAAGTTTAAATTTTCATATTTTATATATTAAATCTAATTCAGCACAATTCATTTTAATTGAATTTAGGTGGACTGAATTAATTAGCTTTAAGATATTGAAAAATTTTCATTTTTTTACTAAAATTAATCTTTTTAATTAAAGATTATAACTTTTTAGTATCTATCTAATGATATTTTTACAACAAATAAATTAATTAAACTTTTAATTGAGTTAAGAAGGTAAGTTATAACTAATTTGTTCAAATTAATATGTAATATATGAAAACATAATACAAATATAAAAGTAACTCTGAAGTTATTTATATTAAATCTATTACTCATGTAAAAGTGAAGTAGTTTGGATTGAGTTAAATTTGACTCAATCATAAATGAAATATAATTCAATCTATCTGAGTTGAATTCAATCATTACTTCGTATAAAAGAAAAAAGAGAACTACTAAAAATATATTATTGATTTGTTATACTAAAGTGGGTAGAAACTTCTCAATAATATGAAACTTAATAAATACAAAACTAACAAAAATAAACTAAATTTGCTTTATCAATACCATTATTGCAATTTGAAACTTATTCCATAAATGATATTTCTATACATAACGAAACTTCTATATCATATCCCCAACAAGGAACATGAAGAAAAAAACATACATATGATAAATATTTCTCTATTAAAAACATGAGATTATTGAAATTGAATATTTACAAAATAAGGATCTAGTTGCATGAGATTAACTGAGTTTATATTTTTTTTAATTGGTTTTTTTATGTTATTGTCTAGCATTAAAAATATATTGATATTAGTATATTGTAATTCTTTTTAATATGTTTTAAAACAGGAAAATCAGTGTCAATATATTTTAAAGATACAGTAAAAGAGACAACACAAAAAAGTCAATAAAAAATTCAAATTCCAGAATAACTAACTCATTATTTTGATAGTTAAACACATGCATTGACCTAATAACTACCTTCATGCATTACTTTCAAGCACATAAGAAAGTTGTAACTACCTCTACATATCCTTTTCAATCACACATGGTGATTGTAACTTTCTTTACTTGTTTTCTCTTTTTAGTTTTACTTGTAAAAAGTATTCAAACTCTCTATAAATAAGAGTTCTTTCTAATACAATTTTGACTTTAATAAATGAAATACAATTAACATATGAGCTTCTTACATTAAAAATCTTCTTCTAAGTGATAAATTTCTATTGCAGTTATCCTTAAATTTCAATCTAACGTGTTCTAAATCATTCTCTAGTCTTAATTTATTCCTATTTTTCTCTCCATAGGTAATGACTTCTTCAACACTTTATTGAGTACATAAATTCGTCCACTTTCCAAAAAATAACCCAATAACCTCCTTATGAAAAGAAAAAAAAAATAAGGCTTGGTAGTAAAGTTTTATTCTTGGTGAATAAAGAGCTCATTCTTGCATGAAAGAAATGCTACACCGGGAGAAAAATATCAAAGAGATTCACTATTTCAAAAGAATTACAAATTTATGAAATTTAGATGGCATTCAATCCAAATTGTTTCACTTTTAAAATCTGTCATTTTAATAATTCAAATTAGTTAAATTTAATAGTTTTTAATAGGATACTTCAATTAAAATTAAAACAAAAATTCGTTTTAATATATATATATATATATATATATATATATATATATATAATATCGATCTATATTTTTTTATCAACAAAAGTTACGTATATTTTATTTTTCCACACAGCTACGAAGTAATGGATCAAATCCATAAGATAGGATTAATTGGTACTATATAGGCATCAAACTTTTACAATTTTTTTGATAAATTTCCATAGAATATGAATTATAAGTATCCATGAATAACATTTTGCATGGCTAGTATACGTAGCATTGTAAGTGTGTGAACAAGACAAAGAACAATTATATTAAAAAGTTATTCCTTGTATATAATTGAAGTTCAACCAACCATTTATTAACTTTAAAAAACCAACTACCACAACAAACAAAGAATTGTCTCTCTGACAAGAAAACTTGTTAATTTTAATACTTTTCACTCCTTATATAAACCTAGAAAACATCGAAAACTGAAGATAAACCCTAATATTTTTTCCCTTTAACACATATTCTAAAGCTATGGCTTTCAGGCAGAGAACACCAACTTTTCGTCCTAACCTTTCTATTCGTCGCGTCTATGAAACTTTGCAGCCACGTTCAGAGATAAAAGATCTCCCAGAAGCTTACCTTCTACGTCTTTATCTTCCGGGTTTGCAAATCTTACTCTTCTCTTAGTTCATGCTTTTTCATTCCTTTATAAATCAACAAATAATATTTTATTTATTATTATACATTTTCATTTCAAGTATGAATTCCAAATAAAACCATATATGAACCAAATTGATTTTTCATTTCATTTTAATATTTATTTATGTTGTTAGATATTATATATTGAATAGAAATAAGATTAATATAAAGTATATAAGGAACTAACATAAGACTGATTAAGACTCAATTTTAATCAAGATTTAGGTCTATTATATCTTTCGTAATATAATTCTCTATTTCTAGTTTGATGTTTTTTATTTGAGAAGTGGGATTTTACTACTTTAATATATGTATTAATACATAAAAAATGTAAAATTGAAAGAAAAGAAAAATAAAGTAAAAGAAGACATGTGTGCAAGTTTTGAATCAATGCAGAAAGATTCACAAAATGTAATTAATTATAATGCTTATTATAAAGGATTAAAATAGTTACTTGGTGAAGAACTGAAGTACTGTAAATGAAAATTTAGTAGTATTTAGTAGGACATGACAAAAGAATTAATGCATATTATAATTAATCCTTATATAACACAGAATAAACAGTGGAAGAGTCAAACCTAGGTTATATTTAAATAGTTTTTCTTTTTCATAAACACTTCTAAAATAGAAAAATAAAAAAAATTAGACAAATTATACAACTCTTTCATATACTTTCTCTATTATTTTTAAATTGGGGATAAACTAATTTTAATTTATAGAAAAAACTTATCATTTTATTTTATGTTCTTAGTTTTTTCTTCTAAAAATTCTTACAATTTTTTTGTATCGACAAACCAAACCAACTAATTCACACCGTGTAGATGAAAAAAATATATATTTATTTTCTTTCTTTTTTGAAGAAAAGATACATCATTCTCACTACCATACAAGTTTAATCAGCATTCATACGTTGTTCAAGATTGCTAGAAACAATTCGCCTCAACGCTTACGTAACAAACATAAATTAAAAAAACTTTATTTATTAAAGAATTATTTAATTCTATTGCAGAAATTAATTCAATTCATGCAGAACCATTAACTACTATCGTGTAAGCTAATTGACATTTCCCAAGTATATGTCCCACAAAAATATTAGTCTTATATTTTTAGTAATTATTGTTATAGATGATTATTTTTTTGCAACTTTTATAATACACGTGTACTCCTTACTATTCTTTAGGAAGATATACATTTACTCAATAACGAGGAACGTGTTAAAAATAATATAACAAAAAATGCATTATCAAATATGCTAATTGATACCATAATTACCAAGTTTATCGTGTAGACGAGTGTCTTTGTTTTTATCACTTCTAATTAACCAAATTTCTTACATTTCAAGTTATCCAATAGCTATGTTCATGTTTACTTTGAATTTTACAACATTAATTATAACACACAAAAAAGTTTCAACTAATATGAATATATAGTTTACATTTATGGTTCAAAATCGTGTTCATTACAATCAATTTTACCAAAATCTAACTCAACACGAGAGAAACTATTAAATAGAAATCAACCACATTATCCTTTCTAATCTCACTGTTCTTTTTTCCCCTGATATATATATATATATATATATATATATATATATATATAAATTAAATATGCAATGTGCTTTCAATTTATTCTTTTAAAAAATAAAATATCTTAGTAACTAAAAACAAAAAAATTTCTACAACTACATCTCATGATTAAATTTTGTGAAACCCTTTGTTATTGAAAAATATTTTAAAATGCCAATTTAACCCTAAACTAGAAACTATTCTACACATTATTAAGTTATAATACTAGATATAAAGTTGAACTTTTTTACTTATTTACTAACTAGTTTAGATTTTTTGTTATTTCAATAACTCTTATGTATTACACGAGCATATTCATCATTTCCCTTTATTAGAAAATTTAATAGAAACCATAAAAATGTTTTAGTCCTCCACACCTAATTAATATAACTCTTCAAACATACTCTAGTAAAAAGACAAATTGAGTTTAAATATGTTTTTCTGCTTGTTCTTTAGGTAACACTTGCATGCATGTGTCGAACTAATCATCTTCCTGACCTAAATTTTACAGGTTTTCAGAGGGACAGTGTAAAGGTAACCTATGTGGCCTCTTCACGAACGGTGAGAATTACAGGAGAAAGACAAATTCAAGGCACGAGATGGTACCGATTTGACCAATCGTATCCCATTCCTGATTATATTGAACCAGAGGCACTTGGGGCAAAGTTTGAAACTCCAGTTCTCACCCTTACAATGCCAAAGAAGGCCACTTCACAAGAGAAAGGTGTTGTAGATGAACCAAAGCCTGATCAAAAACTCCAAGATACTACCACCACACCACAACCTTCAATTACGATTGGAGACACACGATCTTCAGAACCAATTAAGGATCAAGCTGTTGAAAGAGTTGGTCCTTCTGGTGAGCCTCAAATGGGTGAGAAGGACTTGGAGGCAAAACCAAGAACAACCACAGTGCAAAGAGATGAAAAGATTCAAAAGGGTCGAGAGGAATTTGAACCGAAACCAACACCAACAAGGACAGCCACAATGCAAAGACATGAAAAGATTCAAAAGGGTCAAGAGATTGAATCAAAACCAACACCGACACTGCCAACCAAAATGGAAACAGATGAAAAGCCTCAAAAGGGTCAAGAGGATTTTGAACCGAAACCAACACCAACAATGCTAAACAGGGTCGAAACAGCTGAAAAGCCTAAAAAAGGGGAAGAGGAATTTGAACCTAAAGCAGCATCAACAATGGAACCAAACACCAAAACAGATGCGCAACCTCCAAAGGGTCAAGAGGAAGACGAGCCAAAAGCTGATATAACAAACGTTACCAGAAAGCCGACAGTTAAAGAGCAATTGAAGGAAAAGAAGACAGAGGAAACTAGAGATGAAGATTCGGAGAAAACAAGTTATGAAGATGCAGAGGGAACAACTGATGAAGATGAAGAGAAGGAAAGGATCACAAAAAGGGAAGTTAAAGAGGAACCTTATAAATCAAGAAAGTCTGTGAAAGATAAGAAGCAGACTGATTTTGGACAGAAAGAAACCGAGACAGAAAAATTGTTAGCCAAGGAAGCAGAAACTTCTGCTACAAAAGCTCATAAGGAAAAGGAAAAGCAATCTAACGACATAACCTCTCTTAAAAAGGAGCTGAAGAGTGAAGAGAATGAAGTGGAAAAGGTTGGTTCTGTCTCCCAAGTTTTCACAAAATTTGCAGAAGGGGCATTGAATGAGGAAGAGAAAAAATTAGCAGCAAATATTGGTGCTGCAGTTCTTGTCATTGCTGCATTGGGATACTACGTATCTTATAGGTTTGCCTCTTGAGGGATAACCAAAAATATGTTCTACTCAATGAATCTTTTCTCACACTTGTACATGAATGATGAACTGTAACCAAAATAAAAATTGCATACCCATCTCCGATACATTTCATGTTCTATACGAACGGGACATGGTTATATTGTTGAATGTGTTCTTATAAGTATTTATTTTGAACCATTATTAAAAGTCTAGTTTTTTTTTTCAGTGATATTTACTTTCATATATATATTTATAATTATTATATACAAAATTTTAATTGTTTCTTAGATGCATTGCACAGGAAGTAAGTAAAATATACCACTACTTTAAATGCATTGTTGCAGAAAGTAAGCAAAGAAATACAACTAATAGATCTTTGCAAAAAAAAAAATATTCAAAGGGAATAATAATGACCACACATAACACTCTAAAAATGCACAAAAATTTATTAAAGTTCGTTCCTCTGTTGAAGGAAAAAAAATATTCAAAGGGAATAATAATGACCACACATTAACACTTCTAATGGTGGCAGCTTTGTAAAGGAAGAGGAGTGGAAGAGGATGCTATGTATAACAGGGAAGGAAAAGGTTATAAATCGCATGGAACCTAAACACATCATACGTCTAAAATGTCGTCGTATTTGATTAGATCTTTTTTCGTTTGAGGCCTCTCGCGCTGCTCCTGTCTCATGGTGATTCGAGTTTACAACTTTATATTTTAGTTGAAGAGAATGGATTGTTCATTTTTTTTTTGTATTGGATGGTTTTAAAAACGTAGTGGAGGGAATTGGAGGAGTGCAACGCAAGAAATCGTCGCCCAAGAACGCCACCCAAGGACACGAGCAAAACTGCACCAAAACCCAACGAAAATGCATTTTAATCGGTTCAAATGAAAGATAATTCATCAAAGAGTAGTGTAATCGGAGTAAAATTAATTTAAAATGGTGCAAAACTAAGAAAAAGAACCTGAAAAAGTAGCCCATGGAGAGAAAACGCAAGGAAGATAATGAACAGCGAGTGGCGGGATCCCCCCATAACATACGTCTAAATGGCTTTAGAAGTCGGAGTGACGGGATCAGACGTCTAAATGGAGTAAAAAAGTTACTTTTTAAATTTCTGGGCTAAGTATTTAGAAGTGGGTTCCCCATAACAAACGTTTAAATGGTTTTAGAAGTCGGAGTGGCGGAATCAGACGTCTAAATGGAGTCTAAAAGTGACTTTTTAAATTTTTGGGCTGAGTATTTAGAAGTCGGTTCCCCCATAACAGACGTCTAAATGGCTTTAGAAGTCGGAGTCCTCCATAACAAATGTCTAAATAGTTGTTTTATTTACGGAAAATGTCACCAGTCATTTTTTACGTTGGATATTCAAGGGTCGGACCTTTAAAGGATGACGTTAAAGGTCTTTTCTACTTAGAATATGATATAAATGTCAAATTATAATATGTTAAGACATGATGAATGATTTAAGAAACTCTTTTCTTCTTTCATTCATAATAACTTGGCGAAGGTCATATTTATACAAAGTTCAAACTTATTACCAAGAGTTTACGGATTATTTTTTAATTAATCATTAATTCTCAAATTTAATTACCCAATAATCATGAAGCATTAGATGTCGGATATCAAAGTATAAAAGATAACTTGTTAATTTCTATGATAATCTCCAATTTAAAGAAATTATATATTTTCAAAAGAATTTTTCATTGATAATTCAAATTTAATATTAACTATTAGGAATTTTTTTTTTCAGTCAGTTCAATGTTCATATCTCTATATCTACTATGTATATGTGTAATTTAAAAAATTAAATCTTTTAATCCTTATTTGATAAACACCATTACACATATATTGATCTCTTTGAATTAATGATGTCTGTAACATCCCAAAATACAGTAATTACCATAAATTAGAATTAATTATGATTAACAGTAAACCGTGCAGTCTTTAAAATTAACAGAGTACAAAAGCCGAACGGCTTAAGCTGCAGCGTTTCAATATACAGCTCGAATAACGAACGCTAAAATAACGAACGGTTTTACAAAGCATTTAACCGAACGTCCAAAAATAAACTAAACATTTACAACCTAATATAACGAGCACTCTAAGGCTCGGCCTTTACTTCTACTTCAACCAGATTTGCATCTTCCAAAATTTCTTCTTCCAGTATTTCTTCAAGAGATGCACCACCATCTGCTCACATCCACAACGGATGATCATTGCAAGACAGGACGAACGTACATGGACAATTGACAACACAAGGAAAACGAAAGGGTAAGCTTATAATATTTAATTCATACATCCAACATACACATTCAATATTTCAATGCATACGCACAACATACAATTTAACATAATTCATCATAGTAATTTATAAGTATAATAGACGACCGTCCGGACTGTATGAACCGTGTAGCTACAGGCGTCCTTGCACCCGAGTGATGTAGTAACTGGGATAC